TTTTTTGATTCCGGTCCGGTTCTGGGATACGAACTAAAATTGGACTAGCTTCTAGTCAAAATTTTGGTTCCGGTGAAACACTAATATTTGGGGAGGTAAAGTAATTTTGACGGATTAAAAAAGATTTAAGGAGATTAACTGACAATTTTACACTAAATAAAAAATTTTACATTGTTTTTTTATGATTGACAATATTTAAAAATAGGATTAACATTTTAAAAATCAAAAAAACTCTTGTTTTTGTAAAGAAAAATACAGTTCTGTCTATTGTTTGAGTTCTGTCTATTTGTATCCAAACCCAATCCTACATTGATGGAAATATAGGTTAAAACCAACAACTAAACCACTCAATCACAAGTCTCTTAACCGAGAAGGAAAAAGAATTTTAATATTTCTTTCATTTTTCTTTTAAAAATAATAAAAGCAAAGTAAATTGGGAGAAAATTTTTAAAATTTTTCTCTTAAAATTCTACCAAAAATGGCATTTTTTGGGTATATAAAACCCCGATAACCCCGAAACTTTTCGGGTCGGGGTACGGGGTTTTCACTTTCTTTCGGGGCGGGGTTCGGGTCGGGGAGAATCGTGAAAAAATCGTTCGGGAACGGGGTCGGGGTTCGGGGTACGGGGTCGGGGTCAAACCCTAGTTTAAATTACTAAATAATTTTTTTATTTTTACTTTAAAAACGTGTCTTTATTTTTTTATTCAAACTGAGACTTAAATTAAAAATAATTTAAATTTTGATTAATTAATAAATATTTTTTTATTTTATTATAAATAAAGAAGAAAAATAAAATTTATTTTTTAATTAAAAATAAAATTAATTAATTAAATGAATTTTTTTCTTTTAATTCTATTTGTGTTAATTAATTTTTGTTATTTGACAAACGGTGAAAGAGCAATAATTGAAAAATGCGATACTTGATGGAATATCGTGTAGATGATTCCTGCATGTATGATAATTTTAGTAAAGCTGACAATGAGCTGGGCTTTAGCTAATGCAATAATTAAATCAGAAGCTGGGAGCTAACCAGCAACTTTGACCGGACCATGTCCGTTATCGATTACACCAACTACCACTCGCATAGTTTTATGAATATATTCATACTATGCTTTACATTAAATTTAATTAGTGATTTATAGAGATATTTTTGATGACTTTTTTTAAATTTTACTTATAAAATTTCAGATCGGAATTTTTTTTGAATTTTAAGAATTTTTTTATTATGTAAGAATGTACGAGTAATGTGTTTAAAAACAAAATTTATCAAATATTTTTATTAATTTAATAATAATAATAATTAAAAGATGTACAAATGATAATTTAATTAAATGTCTAAGGACATTAATAACTGAAGGAACGTGTACAAAAGAGAATTATCCTTTGAATTTTATTGAAAAGACGTGTACTAAAATGTATTCGAAATGTTCTTCGACAAAAAATACATGTGTAATTGGGGCCTGTGCATGTTTCGAGTAGGAATTTTACTTAATTATTAAATGAATAAGTGTGGGATATATGTGACATTTTATTAATATTTCCCGTTTGTGGAAAAATTAAAAAAAGATTTTCTTTCACTAAAGTTGGTAAGATAGTTGTCTTGATATTCTTTAATTTCTCCGTAGAAAATTTCTTGAGGGAACATCCATTCCTAAACTAACCAGTTGTATAAAATGAACTTACAATTTCAAACTGATTTCAACTTTAATAATAAATATAAAAAAATGAAATAAAATTTTAAGTGCGGTTGTTGATTGCTTAATCGAAGGAAAATGTAAACATTTAACTTTAACAAAATTGCTCGACAGTCCAACATCAAATAAAGGTTAAATATAAACTTTGAAAAAGCTATTATATTTTTTAAATTAAATATTTAGGCGTTCGAGTATCTGATACAGCTTTTAATTTTAACAATTTATTTGATGCACATTTTGAAAATATTGAATAAAAAGTTGGAATATATATTAACGAATTTTTATAATAATGAAGACCGGGATCGGGATCCCGGTCGGGATCGGGCGAGATTATCTCGGGTTTTTTGAATCCCGATCCCGATTTTTCTGATCCCGGACCCGAGATATATATCCCGATCCCAATACCGAGTCGGGATCGGGATGTGCATCAGATCCCGATGCAAATCCCGATTTTATAAATTGACTAGAAGTCTGTTAAATAAAGTTAACAGAATATGGGAGGCATGAATGTAAGAAAAAGCTGCGCCTGCGGCGCAGAAAATGGTTTGGCTTATTGGCATCCAAAATTTTCGCTTGCGGCGCCACAAAAATGAACAAATCTGTCTTTACAACTTTAACGAAATAAGGAGTGATTTGGTGTGATATCGTCAGATCAAGAGGGGTGAGGGGAGTATCGGTGAATTTACAGAGATTTTGTTAGATTTGAAGAAAAATCGAGGGCTTAAGAGACTTATAAAAAATCTTTTGTACATTCCTTTAACAATTTCATGATCGCAATATATGCCGTCACAACTTTCATGGTCTTGTTTACATTTTATTCAAAATACAAAACAACTTTTAATTAAAAACCACTATTAATTAATTGTTACCAAATGTTCCCACATATTTATGAAATGGTTTTAAGTTCATTAAAGTATAAAATGATTAATTACTATAGAAACTGTTAAAATTGTAACATTTATTTACACTTTATTTAAATTATGAGTATAAATCACACGGCATAATAATTTTAATTTGTTAAAATTATATAAAAATGCTTGAATAATTTTAAAAAGGTTATATGTAATTCAGAGTTAATATGTTAAATTTGTAGTTTATTAGGCTATATGTTGCCCGCATTTTCCCTTTCTTCTCCTTTCTACATTTTGTTTTATAATTCCGTAAATTCTCTAAAACTTTCTCTAAAACATTATCTCTCTACAGAAATTTTCATAAAAAGTCTCCGGATATTCAGAACTTTAAGATATCCATCGACTAATTGTAAAGCATTTAAAGCTTTTTTATAAATATACATAGAAATTAAGGAAATAAAAATACCGGCAAAAATCAAAAATTGGAGATACATATCAAGTATAATTTCTTCTAATAGAAATGTCCAGACCTTCAACTGATGTATTAATTTAATTAAAATTTTAAACAAAATTTCAATTCAGGCGGATTACTTGGCTAATAAAAATGCCGGAATAAAATTGGAATTTTTCGGTCAAGCACTGCCTTTATCATTAGTGGGATTTGTTGGAATTATTTGCAATTTTAGTCTAATTTATATCACTATCAAATATAGGTAAATTTAAAAAACATTTGGTTAATCTAAAGATTCTTTGGTTCGGCACAGAAAATATGGAAATTGTTGTTGTTGCTGAACTGTTAGAGTAGCGAAAAAAATCACGGATTTTTTCCAGGGTTGCCGAGTTTTTTAATACACAATTTCGAGTTTTCCAACATATAAGTTTTCTTATGTCGGAGGTATTTCCAACGTCACCATTTGCTAGAATTCTAATTTTGGAAATATATTTTTGGATAAAAAGAATATGATATTAATCTCTCGTATCAAGATATTCAAGATATTATAAATATCATGATATCAATATATTCTCTGGCAAACCCGAGAATTAGGGTTGACGGTTTCACTAAATTCTTTGATTAACCGAAACGTAAACTATAAACCGAGCGAAAATCTTTGGTTATTGAATCGGCTCAGTTCAAGACTTTTTTAAACCTACTCGGAAAAATAAAGTGAGGTTTGCCATCACCAGAAATTCTGTTTTAATAAACAAAGTCTGTTTCTGAAAATATTTGGTGAAAACTTATGACGGCGTTTTGGCAATTTGAGTTTGCTTGAAACATGTTTTATCGTTTTTAAACTTGTTTTTGTTTCAAGTATTTTTAGATCTTAGAAATTATTTTTAATGTAAGAATAGTAATGAATATTGGCCATTTAGTGGCTCAGTGGTTCAAACCATGGCCCTAGAAAAGCCGAAGCTAGTCTTGGAGACATATATAGCAAGTGTAATGATGACTCATTGATGTATATTGACATATAAAAATTTTGGGATTAATTTTGGGACCTTATTAAAACAAAATTAATTTTCAGAAATAAATATGCTGCTCTTGGAAGCAAAACATCAATTTTGATAATAATAAACTCAGTTCTCGAAATTTTACATGAATCTTCGCATTTTCTTTTTCTGGTTGTTTCTGGAAGTGGAATAAATTTTATTCCATTCAAAATAGCTGTAATATTCCAAACACATTCTATGATGGGTTTTTTCTCGAATCTATTTATGTTCAGTTCTCTGAGTGTAGACAGATTAATGGCAGCTGCTTTTCCTATATTGTAAGCTTTTTTAAATATTTTTGGCTGACAAATTCAGATCAGGGCTGCACACAAATCCGGAACTCGCAATCCGGAACTCGCAATACGAAAACGTGCAGCTCTGATTCCGATAGAATAAAATTGAGCTCTGCCAACTACTTCAATATTTTAAATATTTCTGATCCTTTCAGCTACAAGAATCTAAACAAGAAACGCTATATTTGTTGCCATGTATCAGTACTAATCATTGTTAGCTGTTACATACTCTATAGACTGATATATGTTTGCATTCAATATCCTGACTGGCCAGTAACTGGAAACATAGCTGATACTTTGGGAATGATAGCTTATGATAGCACGATAATGAATTATTTAGAGAGCCTGTACATTTACATGCCACCGCTGTTTTGTTACTTATTGCTTGGATTAATACTAATATGTAGAAAAGGTTTTAATATACTTATAGTTTTCTTTATCTTCAACCCTGAGATATTAATCTCAATTTAGCTAGGTCCGTGTAGAAATTTTTTATATCTGGTCAGAATATATCTAGTCGGACGTGGCTTGTAAGCTGTAGTATTTTGTCTGGGGTCTGTGTAAGTAATTATGTATATTTTCATTTAGACACCTCCGAACAACATATGAAGAAAATTTATAGATCAATTCTTATTATAATTTCTATAAACATCGGTTTTTATTTACTTGGCTGGATGATTGGTGTATTTATTTATGATCCACTAGCAGCCAGCTCCACCAACACAACAAATTTATTTTTGCTTCTAGTATTTAGTATGATAATTGTGAATATTGGTGGTGCAACTAATGCCCTTATTCTATTCTTAAATAGGTAAATTATTTTAGAAATATGACTCAAAGACCACGAAGGGACATTTCCATATTTTTAACTGATGCGTCAGCAAAATTATCTATAAGACCTGCAGCTTATAGAGCGTCCCAGTAACCATGACTTAATTTTACTTAGTTTATTGCAAAATTATTCAATATAACAGGAACACAAAGTCTCACGTCTTGCGGGTCCTTGGAAATCCTTTTCCCTTCTTGATCATCATATCTACACATATCATAACCGTTTAACATCTAGTGTCTTAGGCCCACGAAAATCTAAAAAAAATTTTCGAATAATACGATTCGAAAAATACGATTCTAGGCGGAAATTTGGCGCTGGTCTAGTTTATGCGTCCAATGAACTTTTATGCGTCCAATGGAAAGTTTATGACTCCAATCAACAAAAAATTAGATTTTTCTTAGTTTTCAAATTTGGGTTATGGTTCCAAAACATTTCTTCATGTTCGGGACCTACGCACACTGGGTCTGGGACCATTCCTTGCCCTATACCTCGAAATTTCGGTAAGTTATAATTGTTTTTTCTAAATTTTTAAAAATTGGCTATAACTTACCGGAATTTCGAGTGATAGGGCAAGGAATGGTCCCAGACCCAATGGGCGTACATCCCGAACATGAAGAAATGTTTTGGAACATTATCCAAACTTGCAAAACGAAGAAAAATCCAATTATTTTTTGATTGGACTCATAAAGTTTCATTGGAAGCATAAACTAGACCAGCGCCGGAAATTTTTTAAATTTTACTCCGTAGATAAATACGAAAAGTGTTTGATTACAATAAATATTATATAATAATTTTAAGTTGTGACTACCAAAAGGCATATAAGAAGGAATTCAGTAAAATTAAACATCATCTGTTCAAGTGCTTAAATATAAAGCAACAGACAAGTACAATCCTAATCCAACCGCGAATTCAAAATCAAATCACAAAAGTTGTTAATCCAGCATAATTATTGTAAAAATAATCTCAAATGAACCGAAATTAAATCTCGAATAAAAATCACGGTTAAAGTGATCAAAATTAAATTCTTGTATGACTTTCCCTTTGTATTTAATCTCAATTATAAACAAACAAATATTTCGGTACTTTTCGTTATTGATTCTTTTCGCTACTTTCGGTACCTGTAACGAAAAAATCCAAATGCCGATTTAAAAAATTAGCAACATTGCTCGCGCTAAAATAACCCTAAGCTGTTGAAAATGTATATTTTTCTCTTTGGACGAAGTTTTATCTTACAGAGTTCTACTTTACATGTATATGCAAAGACAGAAAATACTTGAACAAATCATAAAATGGTTCAATTTTAAAAACACAAATCGTTTAATTCTAAACTAATTTCCAATAATCGTTACAAGATTTTCTTTGCCGCCAATATATATCTTATTGATTAAATGAAGGATCAGTGGTTGATTTAACAAGTCAGTAGATTCGTCTTTGACATAAATCTATAATTTGTACAAATTTATTATTATACCTAAAATCATCAAAAAACATCTTTTAATGCAAATAATTTCTAAAAACTTGCAGAAGGCGGTGTGGTGTAATGAATTGATAAAAGTGATTATTTACGCCTTTGCAAGAACCTGATCAACGTGCAATTGTGACGGATCAGGGATATATGTAGGTTAAGAGCTATTGAAGACAACTACAACCGTTTAGTAATTAGTAGTGCGTGTAATTATATGGATATAAAATCAAAAAATATGGCCATAAAATATGGATATAAAATCCCGAAATATGGATATAAATATGGAAATAAGCACTAAATATGGATATAAAATCCTGAAATATGGATCAAAAAATAGTCAAAAGATATCTTAAAAATCATTATTTTATACAGAAAACAATAATTTTGCCTTTAACCTTGCATTTTAAGAACATTCTAAAAGATTTTAAGGGTTTAAAATTTCCGTTAACATTTTTTTGAAAATAAATTTTTTTGAAAAATTTTCAAAAAAAATTTTTGACCAAAAATTTCCAAAATTTTGAAAATTTTCGCCAATTTTTAGTAAAATTTACCAAAAAATGACCAAATATGGACAAAATATGGAAAATATGGGCGTAATGCCAAAATATGGAAAAATATGGAAAATAAGGATTATAAAGACCATTCTAGAAATTCTTAAACATGCCAAAAAACTGTTTTTCGCACGTTTCATAGTCATAGGAATGCAGGACAAAAATATGGATTTCCATATAATTACACGCCCTAGTAATTAGCCTATAATATAAGTAAATAGCCTATAATTATCTAACTATTTACCTCAATATAGTTTGTTGAGCCTAATATTATTTCGTGTAGCGTAACTTGACATTTAGCTATGGTCTCTTTTAGTGAAGGTAATTCTTCATATACTTGCTCAAAATTATATTTCCTATTCAGCTTCGAAATGCCGGTATTATGTCCATCCAAATGAATTTCAACATCGTTTGTTTTTAAAAGATTTTGAGGGCTTTTCTTTTCTTTTTCCATTATAATTTTATTCCCATTGATTGTTATATAATTTTTGATAGTGCCTTCAATATGTAATTCTCTGGTGCACAAAATTTGGTGATCCATGTGAACAACAATTTTGTCATTAAAAACAGCAATTTTAAAGTCAAAACTTTCTGAAATGAATTGTATCTTGTAGTGGTATTTGCTATATAAGCAGACGGCTTATAATAGTAGCCTTTAGTAATGGCTACTATTTGTCTACATTTTTATCTTTGTCTCTTGGTCACGAGCTAATTTAGGTAAATTGGCTAACTCTCGGACAAACCTAGGACATAACTGATTGGTTTCCGTTATAATTATGAAACACCTTTCTCATTTAGAAGTCTTAGATTAGTATCAATTAAGCTGAATTGACAATTCAACCTCGACTCAATTGATCATCTCAACTAAATTAAACCCATTATCCACCCATTCATCAAACCTACGAATCATTGTATAATTTTTGATGTACTATTTGATAGAACATCTAAAACTATGAGATTCCTTGAATAATAATTCTCAAGTGTCTGATAAAGTTCATGGGCCCAATGGTACCAATATACCACTACTAATATACCACTTAAAGGGCCGCTACACTGTTAACTGCTCCGTTCTTAAATGTTTATAATGTTTCTTAAATGTAATAATTTCACTTTAATTTTGATTTACTTGTAATTCCATTGGTTATATGTATAAAAAAAAAACAAATCAAGCAATACTTAAAAATATTAATATACCAAAAACTGGAATTCCTTGTTCACTTGCATGATTTTTAGACGTTTCTGCACCGTATCCTCTTTTTCTTTTAAATCTCAGATTTTGGAGATTTAGTTGTCTATCAAATTAGCCCTTTCTTCATCGTCTAGAAGAATATCTTTAGCATTATTTAAATCTTTTGATAATTCATCATCTGAGCTATTTAAATTTTTGTCAGGGTGATGCTTCCTAATAAATTTTCTGTAAGCTTCTTTAATTACTTCATTTGAAGCATCTCTTTCGACCTTTAAAATTTCATAATAATTCTTGACGCATTTAATATACGAAATTAATCCAAGAAAGATGAATAAAGAGTATATATGTTAAAATATTCATCTAAAATAGAAAACTTTTTAAGTAAAGAATATAATTGAACTCTGGACGGGATCCTTCAAGGGAAAGGATCCTGTCAAAAAATCATCGATTTTAAATTTACGAGACGAGTTATGAAGATCCTGCACCTTTCGCCTTTTGAGCACTTTCTAAATTCAAACTCGCTACATTATGACATGAATATTTAAGGCAATTTTTGTAATAGATCGGGTTTCATGGTTAATACAATTGAACAACACGCTTACGGTACAGAAGATGAACAACATGGTCCTTCTTATGTTTTTAATTTTTAAGAAAAATAAATCTTATAAATAAAATATGGAAGGAGGGGGGGGGGTGAATAAGGGGAGAGGGGAGTTAAGGGGAGACGCTTCTCTCTAAAAGAAGCGATTCTCTCTAAAAAATTCTCTCCATCCCTCGCAAAAAATTAACCTCTCCGTTTATAATGCTCCCTCGTAATTTTAAAATCAATATAAAAAAAATAAATTTCCCAATAAATAAAATCGCTCCTTGCGCCGTTTTTGAAATTATGCACTTTAAATTGAATTTACAGACTACAATTGAAAAAAATAAAAATTGATATATGTAAATAATTATAATAAAAATATTATTTTAGAAAAATTAAAAAAAAAACGATTAGACTGTAACCAGCAAATAGATGATAATCACGCCGTTGACGTTAAATATTTTTAGGTCCTTGTTTTACCTTGGAACTTATTTACTTTAACACGCAGCCCAAAATTATATTTGCATTTGTAAAATTTATAAGTCAATCGAAAGAACTCGACGAGTTGCGTCGAGTACGCAGAATTCAGACTTTAGTCGATGATTCTGAAGAAAATTAGATAAACTTAATTTTAACATCGAAAAATTATTTTGCGCTGATACGAAGTAATAGGTCTGAATTTCAAGAAAGATAATCGGTATGAAGGAATAGGTATATGTTAGAACCCAGCGATCGTCATACATTTAAAATACGAATTTAACCCAAGGAAAATGAATAAATAAAGTAAATAAATGAAGATATGCAGCTAAAATGTTGAATAAAGATATAAAATGATTGCGGCAGAAAACGGGATCTTCTAACTAATTTTACGGAATCAAATCTGAAAAAAGAGTTTAACCGATAAAAGCAGATTTATGGTATAATCTGCGTCCTTCGCAATCCCGTTTTGTGTTCACTTCTGAGATGCTTTGTGATTCAATCACGTTATGGATCCGATGAATATTTTTTGAATTTAAGCTATTTTTATTATTAGAAATTACCTTTACTTTTTTGGCTTATTAAATTATAAAAACTTCGACTGCGGCAGTGAAAAGGGACAAAAATTATCGGGTCCTGCGTTATGTTTTTTAATTTTCAGGAGTTAAAGAATTTAAAAAATAAGATGGGTGAAGTGAATGTCAGTGTGTATACGCGGAGAAGACGGCTAAAAAAGGCGTCTATGAAAAAATTCTCTCTAAAAATTTCACTCCACCCCTCGCAAAAAATTAACCTCTCATTTATAATATTCTCTCGGCATTTTAAAATCGAAGCAAGGACGCATTTTGATAGTGAATGCCCTTTTCTATATCAAAAGGTATTCTCATGATAGACAAAAATTGCCAAATGCTTGTAAAATTGCCAAACCCTTATAAAATCCCCTTTAAATATTAACGCTTCCGGCGGAGTTTTAAAAAAAGCTATAAAAAATATATAAATTTATAAATAACAATTTTTAAAAATTAAAAATAAATTTAAAAGATTAATTTTTTTGCAATGACTGTCGATAACCAGAATTTAACTTTCGAAGTTGGGCTTCTATGGGGAAAATCCCAATGTAAATTCCAAAACATTTTAAAAATACAAGGGGAGGATTTCGAAGTTGGGTTTTTGTAGAAAACCCTAAATATCGATAAATCAGCCCGAATATTATTTAATATATTTATTTTCCTTTCCTTTGCACTTTGAGCTTTTTTAATACTTCTTTCTCACAAACACTTAGTCATTAAAACTAGAGATCGGCTCGATACGATTTTTCATCGATAATTATCGATATTTTTCGATATTTTTTTTCGATATTATCGAAAAAATATCGACCGACAAAATTTTGACTTTTTCGATATTTTTCGGTATTCGATATTTTTTCGATATTTATCGAAAAATATCGACCGACAAAATTTAAAAATCGAAACAATCGACCGACCAAATGATAAAAAATCGAAAAAAATATCGAACGCCATTTTTTACAAATATTTGAATTTTTGGCGCCAAAAAGGCTGCTTATTTGTTTATTTTAGTTAACATTTTGAAATTTGTGTTTACATTTATTTTTTGCTTAATTTTTTATGTTTTAGTCTTGTTTTTAAAATATCTTTTAAATGCCATCGGAAAGTATAATTTG